AAAAAAAAAAGCCATGAAGAGAAACTGACTTGACCAAAATCATAAGAATTCTAATTCATACACCTCACTTTGAGCCGAGGGAGTGAGCATCAACCTGGGAAAATAAAGGAGAAATGTGGAGGAGCTCAAGTGACAGATGGCATGAAGGGGGTGGTGCTCACTGCAAACTGGGGAGCAGGCCCCAGGGGTAAGTTTGCTACTAAATATCAAAAGAGCAGAAAAATTTGGCAATGAGACACCCCCCACTCCCAGTCGAGCAGAGCTGTTCTTTCCAACTGGAGCCTGGGCTCAGCTGTTGTTACAAGAAGGTGAAGTTGGTACCAACTGCAGAAAACAGCTAAGGGCCTCAGATACACACTTGCTGAGCAACTCCCAAGCATCTGAAGACAAGAGGAAATAACAGAGTAATGCTATAAACATCACACAGCCAAATAACTTTATAGAAGAAAAGGGACAAGGAAAGGAATGAAGCACACAAAAGACAGTTTCAAGAGAACACAACAGACTTAGATAAGAAAGGGAAGTACAATGCTAAGAAAAGAAAATGAGAGCCAAAATTTACCACTGCAAATCTAATAAATAAAAAAACATCAAGAACAGAACAGACAAGACTATAGACACTGTAAACGGCATGATATAATCACAGTGACTGCAGAAGCAGCAAGCACGTCTTTAAACAGCAAAGACTTCTAAGCACCTTTAATCCTTTTTGCAGGGCTAAAAATAAAATTAGTGATGTAAACAAAGGGCTTGAGGCAATCACAGTGAAAGATGATAATTGTAGTAAGTAGCAAATATATAAACACTCTTCTAGTGAGTTTAGGCACTGACTATGCCTCACAGCAATCCTCTCATGGTCTTGGTCCTTTTTATATGTATAAAGTCTTCCAAAAAATTGTATATACATTTCAGGAAAATAAAAATAATGATTTTTTTTTTCAACAGATCATGTTACCCTTGTATACGGGACCACAGAGGATGTCATATATCACAGAAAACACACTACACTGTTAGCCCTTTAAAAAGATTGAAAACACATGTGTAGTACTCTCAGTGACTGCATTAGTAAGTGTTTGCAAGACAAGAGATTTAACTCAGGACCTGGGAATTTACAAGAGTAGCTTACAATATTTGCCGACATCATCAAATGCAAAAGAGTGACTCCTGACCTCATCCCTCTCCAAAGGCCCTATCTGCTACTACGTGTATTTATTCTCACCAAATTATAACAATAGTTAGAATATTTAAAACACTTTCATGATAATGGATTATTTTACAAAAGAAAAAATAATTTTTGAAAGTAAAAATAAAGATTCCTTTGTCCTGCACCTAAAAATCTGATGTGAGATTTGCCCCTCTATCTGTATCTCTGTTTATGTACAAAACTCCCTATGGGATTCTAATGAGCACCCTCATGCATAGACCATTGCTCCTGGCCAAACAGGGACCAGTATTTAGTTTTTTAGTTTTCTGTAGTGCTACGGATTGAAACCAGGGACTCATACATGCTAGACTGGTGCTCAAAAAACTATTTTAAAGGTCATGAATTTATGCTACCGTCATATTTGAGCCAAACAATACTGCATTAAATCTGTTTCATTCAAATATTATAATTCCTTACAGTTTAAGGTATACATGAAACAAGAATTCCACTTTCAAGCAGATAGGAAAGCACCTCTTGGAATTTATATAGACTTCTAACATACCTGCAAGAACCTCTCTATTCGACAGGATGAGTGGTCTGGGCCAGCCCCATCATAGCCATGAGGAAGGAGGACAACAATGCCACTCTGCAGGAGCCACTTGGCTTCTCCTATAAAGCATGGGGAGAGGGTAAGAAGTCTATGGAGCAGAACCAAACAGTCCATGGGAATTTGCAATGTCAAACAACTATTACTTTGCTTCTTGAGCCTCCAAACTCATTCATTTCATGCATTTGTCACCCCACACGAAGGGGGAAAATATTCATTTTGCTGGATGCAAACCTACAACAGTGTCCTGGGCTTTAATGAGGAGAAGACAATCTCCCAGGTGAATGTCTTGGCTCCCTATGTGGCATGAGCCACTAAATTCCCATAGACACAACTGAATAAGCAGCACCTATGTTCATCACTGTATCTCACACTACAGGTCACTACCCTCAAATGGAGGGGGAGGGACACTTTAGGATCATCTCTGGAAATACCAAATGCCCAGGTACCTCTTGTATGTTTCTTCCTCATAACAACAAAGTTATAGAGAGACACAGCTATTGGAAAGACCTGAGACAGATATTCAAAACCTAATGGTAGGAAGCCCCAGAAAACAGGACTAAAGATCTGAGGAGTGCCTTAGATCTTTTCTTCATGCACACTGAATTCTTACAGAAGTGGATATTAACTGTGGAAGTTTCAACTTTCTGATACTTGAGGGACCTGGATTGCAGGGAGATTTCCAAGGATGCCATGACTTAACCAGAGAGACTTACTTCATCATCATGGGAACTGGTTATTTGTATTATAGTCAGTCACCCCAGGAATGGATGCAGAATTCAAACATCCCAGGAGCTGATAAGCACAGCCAGGCCTATTACCTGGGAGATGGGAGATGCTCTCTGCACCTAGCCTTCTTGCTGACAGAGAGCCAGATGTTCTTCCCAACAGCTGGGGGCTGGTGTATGCCAGTAGGGAGAGGATGACCCCAACTCTCCAGAGACAGCATGGTACATAGCAGTCTCAGGAGCAGCAATGACTCTTTTCATGCATTTGTACCTGTGAGGCTGCAGCAGTGTATCTACTACCCAGCTACAGAGACACCAACCTCCAGAGATGAATGTGTCAAAGATGATCTGGGCTCCATTGAAGAAATCACCAAACTGGGCCTCCCAGATGGGCAGTAACTTTGGGCTTTCAATGCTCATCCCATATTCAAATCCCAGAACAGCCTCTTCTGACAGGGGACTGTTGCTGACCTAATTCCAAAGATGAGAACCAGAAGCTGCATGCCAAGGCACACACAACAGGAGCTGCAGTGATACAGCTTCAAGTTGTATCACTATGCAAGTCTGGAAGTGAGGAGGGGTGGGAAGCATTTCATTTCATTCATTATTACATTCTTTAGAGAAAGATGTACTTATTGCTCAGTATGACGGATGCATTTGGCAAAAATTGTGTCAAAGAGCAAAAAAAGAAAAAGAGATTAGAATATGGGTATTAAACATTTTCCTTAAGGATAAAGAAGATACTCAGATGGCCTATTTTTGGAGCTGAGAGTAAGTTTATGTTATTCAAGCTTTTAAAAAATATAAAACAAAGATGAAAAAGTCATAAAATCAATACCTACCTTTGGTTAGGGTCCATTATTCTAACATATTAGCAGGGTAAGTTTGAAGAACCATCATGTTATGTTAAGATAAGCCAGAAAATAAAAATAATCCTTGAGAATTGTAAAGACACAAGACAGTTAAATGGAAGATGACACTACACTAAAAATGTGTTGCTTTTAATATCCTGATTTGGATGATTATGTTGAATGATGGAGGAGAATGTCTTTTATTTTTGGAAGCAAGAAGTGCATACTGTAGGGTATCGGGCTAGCAAAGGCTTTCAAAGATTAGGAAAACTTCCTTCATATTATATACTGAAGATCAACAAACAATTATGTGTTTGTTTCAATTTTTTTTAAACTTCATTTATTTGGTACAAGGTCTCACTATGCAGCTCTGACTCACAATGAGCCTCCTGACTCAGCCTCCCTAGCACTGGGATTACAGGCATGCACCATCATGCCTGGTTTTGGTGGCCTGCTCTGTGTGCCTGGGGTTCCACGACCAGCGTGGCATGCTGTACCAGGGATTGAACCCGGGTCCTTATGCTTGCCAGGCAGGTGCTTAGATAACTGAGCTATCTCCGCAGTCAGTATCAATTTTCTAAAAAAATTTTTTAAAGCTGCAGGCTTATAGAATATTTTTTGACGATAGAAAGAAATGAAGTATTGACATGTTACAATATGGATATACCTTGAAAACAGTACGCCAAGAAAAAATAAGTTACAAAGGCCTCATCTTATATTGTTCTATTTATCTGGAATGTCCAAAATAGGAATATTAATAGAAACAAAAAGAAAACTGCTCAGGGGCTTGGGGGGTTGGATGGAATGGGGGGGTCACTACTTATGGGTCCAGGGTTTGTTGTTGGGGTGATTCAAATATTCTGGAAGGGGCCAGGGAGATGGCTCAGTGCAATAAGCACTTCCCTGGCAAGCACAAGGGCCTGAGTTCAATCCCCAGCTCCGAAAAAAAAAAATTCTGAAATTAGACGGTGATTGCTGTGCAGCTCTGAGATTACACTAAAAACTACTTCACTGTAGACATTGGAAGGCTGAATTTTAAGTTACATCTCATGAAGCCTTTATTTTCAGGAACTCAGAAAATTATAGCTTTAATTGCATTGACATACATAAAAAACCAATTATTTATTAGCCTGGTGGTGGGATTATACATAATTAATCTTTTTAGAATAGAATCTTTTTTTTGGTGGAACTGGGGATTGAACTCAGGCCCCTGCACTTGCCAGGGAAGCGCTTATTCTACTGAGCCATCTCCCCGGCCCCTCAGATTATAATCTTCTGCTGATGTTTAAAAAGACTGCTGTATTTCTCAATTGGAGTTCATCTCATAACAAGGCTTGGAGAAGCTATGCAACTTTGCTCTCTGCTTGTCCTCACCCCATAATCTTGGTCATTTTTCTCTCCTTGCTGGGACAAAATACCTGATACCAAAAATTAAAGAAGGAAAGGTTTATTTAGCTTAGTTTGTGGAGGTTTAAGCAGTAATCAGCTGGCTTCAAGGCAGGGTGGAATGGCAGAGGGGCAGCAGTCCAAGGTGGCAGAAGACAGCAAAAGCAGCAAGAGAAAAAGGGGGGAGGGGAAGCCTCTTTTCCTCCCTTGTATTATATGCATGCTCCCCGCTCTTCTGTGGGTCCTTTACACCCATACCATCTCTGCGACCTCCTCTTCCATAAACTGCAGATGTTTACAAAATGAGGACCTGACCCCCTGCTGAATCACTTAGTGGAACTTTTAAACCTCTCCAGCTGACACAATGTACAAAGGGCATGTCCTTTTTATTCCAGGATGTAGAACTGCTGAGTTAGTTAAGCTTCTAGACTCCTCATGTTGACACAATGTATCAACCACACCTCTTCTCTCTCTGGGTCAAGGGATCAAGGCTCACACATTCATTTTGAACCCGCCCCCCTCACTTTCTGCTGCTTCTGGAACCGCTCTATCACTCAATTCCTGCTTTCTGAATTTCTCTTCACTGGTGTCCTCCCTCAATCATACAATCAAAAGCTTCAAAAGAAAACAGGAAATACTCAATCTCCTTCCCTGGGGTCCCCACAAGCCACTGCCTTCTTTCTCAGCCAAGCTTTCAGAAAGACTAATGTAGTCCTCCTGCCTTCACCTCTTGATTCCTGCTTACCCTTCAATTAGGGACAGACACCCCTCAATTGGTGAGGGAGTTGGGCCCCACCAACACAGAGTAAATCCAAAATATTGTCAGTTACAACTCATTTATTACACTTTACCTGAGACACCCTAGCTGAACAACATGGTGCACTATGGAGTGTTGGTCATCTCCATTCCAGTGAGGACTGTGCCCCTGGGTAGAATCCATTACCCCTAAATCTTGCTAATATGTCAGTAGCCAAGGAAAAGTGCAAAATTCAACAAAGTGTGGTTTTTACTGAATGTGCATACTTCTACACCATAATAAAGTAGATTTTTTTTTTTTTTTTGGTGGAACCAGGAATTGAACTCAGGTCCTTGCACTTGCCAAGCAAGTGCTTATTCTACTGAGCCATCTCCCCAGCCCTAGAAAAATTTTGAGTTAAGCCAGTGTAAGCTGGGGAGCATCTGTACAATTCAGATTTTACTCTCAGTCACTCCTTGGAAAGACCTCAACATGAAGTCAACCCTCCACTACCTAAGCGCAGCCTGCATATTATTTTTTCTCTCAAATGATCCATCCCTCTCTGAGTACCATGACACAGTGACTTCCATTTCTCCTTTTACCTTTCAATACTCTCTTGTGAAATATTTTCCTTTCCCTCCAACACTAATGCACATCATCAAATCTAGCTCTATCTGCCATTTTTACTTGGCAGCCCTAATTCAGGCCCTCGGGATTCCCTCATGGAACATGGTGAACCCTTATCTACTGTCCTACTTTCTTATCCTTTGCAGGCTTCCAGAGTACTGTCAGGGTCATTCTTTCTAACATGAAAATATTGTCCATGACCTACCACCCTGAATGTGCCCAATCTTGTGCAATTTTAAAATCTATTCACAATTCCTCCATGGATCCTCTCACTGTGATTGCCAAGCATTTTACAACAAGAGCAGTCCTATCTGGGCTACTGTCTTTTTACTCCTGTGACTAGTCTGCAGATCATCTGAAGCTATGTGCAGTTCCCTAAGCATGTCATATTCTGTCCACCCACAGAATTTAAATGTGTTCAATGTCTTACAATATTTTCCCTTATTTCTGAGACTGGACAACTCTTGATTTCCAGGTCAAGCATGGCTTCCGAAGCATTTCCTGAATTCCCCAAGTGGGTGCAGCTGATCCTTTTCTATGACTCTATTGTACTTTGTACACTTGTATAAATTTAGAAACCTTATTTTCTTGATCTATCAATCAATACATTTATTTATTCCTGAAAAAGTATTGAAGGTGGTTTATAAATATATATTGATAGGTTCGGGCCCTAGAGTAAATTGTTAAAATCATTGTGCTGGTCATCTAATATGGCCAATGCCCTTAAAACAAAGGCCTATGCTCCCCAGGCCACCTCCCCCTTCTTGTCCAACTTAGCCCAGGACATAATTTACTTTCACCCTTCCTGCTGCCTCAGGGAAGACCCCAGTCAGCTCCTTCAGGTATATCTAAACATCCCCTCCAAACTCCACCCCTAGAAAAAGGCCATAAAAGCCTCAGCCTCCCTTTGTCTAGTACAGAGAATTCCTTCATCTCCCCAAATTCTCTCCTTGTCCTCAAAGAAAATAAAATCCCTTTCTCTTTTTGCTTCTGCCTATTTCTCTGCTGTGCTGTTCACCTGACAAACACCTATCATATATGATACACAAAATCACAGTTTAGATATTAAGCGGAGTGAAACAAGACAGATAAAGATTAACAAGAGCTGGGAAAAGGCAGACCTTGAGGACCTACTCACTCATCTGAGCCTCCAGCCCTTGCTCAGACTCAACTCCTTGTAATAGAATGCTGGTCACTTTCAGGATTCAGTGCACACAGTAAAACCAGGAATGTTTATCAGGAAAGTATAAACAGGGACCAGGGAGATGGCTCAGTAGAATAAGTGCTTCCCTGGCAAGTGCAAGGGTCTAAGTTCAATCCCCAGTTCTGCAAAAAAAAAAAAAAAAAAAAAAAGCATAAACACTTGAAATGCCATGACCAGTGGGTGTGTAATATGAACTTTATATTATGATTTCAAAGTCCATTTTCCTACTATTTATACACAGTGGAGTACTACTATACCATAAAAAATGAATCTTTCCAGGGTTTTTCCCAAAGTATCAGCTCATAAATGAAAAAATTTGGTTATGGTTTTTGCATTTTTCAGTGCTGAGTATTCAACTGATAGCCTAGCATGTGCTAGGCAAGTACTTTACCACTAAGCTATACACGCAGCCCAGAAATTGTGGACATTTATTTTCCTACAAATAACTCAAGTTTATTCTTTATGGTATAATAGTACTCCACTGTATATGAATAGTAGGAAAAAGGACTTTGAAATCATAATATTAAGTGAAATAAATCAGATGTTTATTCAGATGCACAAGTTTAAATATGTTTTTTCTTATGTGAAAAACCCAAAATATAAAGTTTAAAATAAAAGATAAATGATAGAAAGTAAGGAGATAGATCTATTTCAAATGAAAAAGAGACCAAGAGATGGAGGAAGAGAAAAGGGAGGGAAAGGGAAGAGGTAAAAAAAGCAATAGAGATTTCTATGTACATGCTCCAATTCAACACAATGATTCTAATCATTATGTAATGCTAACATGCACTACTAAAAAAGGTGGAAAAAAATACTAAATACAATGTTAAAAAAGAAATAGTGAACATTATATCATATTGATCTAGGACATTTAATTGGAACTTTGTTTGCTTGTTTGAGACAAGGTTTCATTACGCATTTCTGGCTGGCTTTGAACTCACTTTATAGCAGGTTGGTCTCCAACTTGCAGCAATCCTCCTGCTTGTTTTATAGGCGTGTGCTACTTCACTTGGCCTAATTGGAGCTTTTAAAGTAGGATGTTAACATTCGAACACAATTATTAAATATTAAATCACAATTCAATGGAAGCCTCATTAAAAGGTGAGGAGGACACTAGACATTTCACTGTCTCTCCAGCTCATCAATCTGAGATAGATTTTAGATTCACTTAAAGGACAGATGAGCTGCAGGTCCATTAAACAGGTTCTTCCTGGAAAACTGCTTTTGTTAAGCACATTTTTTAGAAAATACCAGTAAACTCAAGATTATATTATTAAGTGACTATAGTAGAAAAGAAGGTACAATGTCATCAAATTTCCTTTAAATAATAGCTTATTTTTGTAGATATCATGTGCTGAGTTCTATTCCAATTACTGCAGAAACAGAAATAAAGACATTCAGCTACTGCCCTTAGGATGCTGAGGAGAACAGCAAAGACTGGCAGACAGAAAAGCCCACAAAGCTTTAGGGAATCAGGTTGCCATAGCAAGTGGTATTTGTTTGTTTGAAGTGAGCAAGGAATGCTAGCTTACTACTCATATCTTTGACTAACTTTACACTATGCAGATAATGTCATTTTAAGTGGACAAAATGCATATCTATATCATATTCACATGCATGCAGACAAGTAGTAAGATCAAAATAGCTCCAAGCTACTCTCTGATCTGTTAGTTCCATTCCAAATTTACATATGAATATCACCCACCCATTCAGCACTTCTTCACTTTTAAAAAAATACTGAACCCAGTTTCTGACAACTGTTTTAGGGTTTCTTTAAGCAGGCTGTAAGTGCAATAAGTGATGCTTGGATTTGACACTGTAGATGGAAACATCCTACCTCCAGAAATCCCTTCTGATTAGGGTCCATGTGGTTCAGAGGGATGTAGGCATCACTGGTCTTCTGGCAAACCACCATTGCATGCCTTTGACTGAAAGTACCACGGCCAACATCTTGGCCACTCAGACGGACATTAAAACCTTAAGCAGTAAGCAAGAAACAAATAAACAAAAATCTAGATCCCTGTGAATAATCCAGCTAATAATAAGGCATGGATACTCTGAATTTTTTTTTTGAGGCAGGATTTCACTTATCCTTGGAATTTCCTTAGGGTAATAGAGTCTTATTAAAACAATCCTTTCTTGTATCCAAAAGTCTATGATCAAGGCAAAATTGTATAGGAATGGAGAGTCATTATTTGCCCTATGGTTTGTAGAGAACAAAATATAT